TGCTATGAACTTCAATACTTACTTATAAATATAACTGAGATATTAAGCCAATAAATATATGAATAAAATATGAAGTAATTACTGAAATATTAATTCATGTAACTAATTCGTTTTGTTATAAGTGACTGATTGGTATTTTAAGTTTGTTCTTGTCCTTCAATATTGAGGCTTGAAATAGCGTTTTTAAGTTTTAAGCTACAATTTTACGCTATTGTAGATCACTGGCAATTTAAGGCAAAGGCCAGCGGTGGTGGTTGATTGAGGCATCCGGTGGTGGAGATGGTGGTTAGTAGTAGCGAACAGTAAAGACGACGGTGGCTGGAGGTGGACAGTGACAAAGACCAACAACGGCTGGCAGTAATGGCCCAAGATATTTTATTCATATATTTATTGGCTGTCAATATAGGCTACTAGAAATTAGAAATTCTACCACTCGGGTCTTCCCATTTCTATCATTTGAATGGAATGGCCATTGTTTCTTGTAGTAATATAAATCATAAAAGACTAAATTTTTTTTTGATTGATTTCATACTAATACAAATGTATCTATATAAAGGCAAGAGAAAAAAATAATAAAGGAAATATAATAAAATAGAATATTCTAAATAATGATAAAAATATTACATTAATAAATACTATGGTGACCCGACGCGGATGCGACCCCTGACGTGGACGCAAACTCTAACGCAACGCCTGTCCTGACACGTAGGATGATCAAACGGGTCGATCAATCTGGGTTGACTTTGGTTGTCGAGTCAATCCAAACTCGACCCATTCTTTAAATGGGTCAAAAGTCCAAATCCGAATCTAACCTGTTTCACAAACGGGTTGACCCGAATCCAATTTTTTTTGAGTCGAGTTTCAGGTCATGTAAACTTTTGACCTCCTACTTGGAAGCAAGCAATCCATTTAGAATCTCTCATAATGCTCCTATTTCCTTCATATGAGACCATTGGTGCCATAATGTTACTTTGGAAGAATACTCAGAGGGGCATTTCATGATATTCTACATGTTAATTACTCTTTTGAGTTCCTTCATCTCGGGACATCAATGGGCTCTTCCTGATAACTTTCCGATGTTGTTGAGAGGTTTTTTCGGGAGCATTACTATCCTTGACAATGCTGCTCCATGTTTGCTCTGGAACAACCTGAATAACTTTACTTTTAGGGACTATATTGAAGAGCATTACAAAGATATATGATCCAGTTCTTAGTATAATTTTTTTTTTATTATTATTATTGGGGAAACCCACAAGAGGGGCCTACATGTTAAAATGGAGGCAAAATTACAGAGTCCTTAAGGGAAACTCAATCTCACTACCGCTCAAAGAGCTACAATCCAAAAAGAAGAAAAAAGGAAACCTAAGAGTTCGAGTTTCCCATCTAAAACACAATACAAAGCAACCTAGTAACATTCTACGGTGCTCAGGAAAGAGTACCCAAAAAATGCGAGAGCGCAAAAAACAGCCAAAACACTCCCCGAAGCAGGAACCCTACAGAAAGGTCAACAAGAGCATGCTCACCTGCACCCGCCAAAAATGAACAAGACACACAAAATTGGGAGGAAATCTAAAAAGAGACAAAAAAATAGTTTAAAGATTTGCAAATAAAAGGATATATCCAGCAAAAATCCCTCCATAGAATCACCAAGAGCTCCCCTGCAGTCAAAGAAACTCATCAAAAATAAAAACCATAATAACAAACAGGTCACCCATAAGGGAAATTCCCGAAGGGAAACACCACCAGGGACAAAACAGCTAGAAACCACCCTCCCAAGAATAACAAGACCGAGCCAAATATAATGCACAACCTAGAACCACCACGAATCCCCCAAGCCATAGGGAATAACAGAACACACACAAGAGACTAAAAACACCATGAACAAGAAGCTAACAACGCCCAAAAAACACAGGACAATTAACATAAGGCATACCGATTTGATCCAACTTAATCATACCATGAATCGGCACAGGAAGTTGCAAAAGAGCTAAGTCAGTAATATTGATAAACATACTACAAAACTTAGCAATAGCCTGGGCACGAGAATTAGACGCGCTAGGGACATAAGCAAAAGAACAGTTAATATAAACTAAAAGATCCTTGATCTTTCTACGATTATAGAACAGAGAATAAAAGCAATTGCTGCCATCCAAATCCAGAATCGCTTTTAAATCAATATAAAGCTTGCTTTCCAAAATAATGTTATGCATGTCCAGCCCAACACAAATGGATAACCCATGTAAAACATCAATTAAAAGCCCCCCAATCTTATCCTTTTCACCGGATATACAAGCAAAACTCCACACAAAATCACCATTAAAATCTCTAATGATACGACCCACACACCAATCATTCCCCTCAAGGACACAGTCAAAGTTCAACTTAACAAAATTAACTTGAGGTTTCAGCCATATAAAAATTATATTCACCGCAGAGAGCTGAACAATATCCAAAATCCCAAATCCCTCCAACACAAAAAAAACCTTCTCAAAATTCTTAACATAAATAAGTTGAACAGAGTACAGAGCTTTAACCTTAACCATAACTTTAAGAATAATAGTTTGATGATCCATCTTAATACCATTATAACGTGAATCATTTTTAGCCAATCAAATGAACCAAACAATGAGAGCAGGAACCACATTACGAATGTGACCCTTAGATCTTACCATCCAATCCTCGAACAAATTGTGGACATTAATATACGGATTAAAAAAATTAAACCGAAATAGATTCTCAAAATAGATCCAAACCTTAATAGCAATAGGAGAAGAAATAAAAACATGATGCAAGGTCTCACCATTCGAGCAGCATTGACATTTCGAAGTGATAGACATCCTTCTTTTCCTAAGAAGCTCATCCGTAGAAATAAAGTTATTAAGAAGCCTCCAACTAAAAACAGAAACCGTGGTAGGAATACTCTTATGCCATATCATTTTGAACAATTTAGAGGTATCCTTCTTACTTATAAAAACATGCCAAGCCTCTTTAGTTCTAAAAACCCCATCTTCAATAAAGGTACAAAGTAAAACATCTTATAATTCCGGTTAAGGGAAATGTTAGTAATCAAATGGATTAAAGAATCAGGAATAACATTAGAAAGCTTATTCAAATCCCAACCGTTGGCAGTATAAAAGAAATCAACCTTAACAGAATAAATAGAATTAGGATTAAGTAAAGTCTCCAGAGATTGACCATTAATCCACTTATCTTGCCAAAAAAACACATTACCTTCACACCAAGCCCCCATGAAACGAAAGGCTCAGCTTTCCATTTAACTAAACAAAGGCGATGCCAAACTTGTAGACTGACCTTTAGAAAAAAAGCACATGGTAGGATGATTACTTCCACAATACATAGCCGTCATAAAATTAGCCCAATTTCAAACACTCAGTTTATGTGTGGCTTCCTTTAGTCGAGGGCTTGAAGACTGCTGATGCTTTGCATATTAGGAAGATTTATGTCCCAGTTACTTGCAGTTTATGTCATTCAAATGTGGAAAGTGTATCTCATCTGTTCTTTGAATGCTCTTATACTTTTTTTATTCTTGCTGCTCTCATTCTTGAGACGAGCGAATTTCTCTTAAGACCTTCGGTACTACAGCTTCTTGAATAGTTGGACAGTGAGCTTCAAGTCTCTCTGTCAGTTAAAATTTTTTACATGATGATGATATGATGTGCTATTTATCAAATTTGGATAGAGATAAACAATAAGATATTTTGGGACACAATACAAAGCAATTATTCCTTGCTGCTTAGTATAAAAAGAGTGGTATTTGAGAAAGTTTTAAAGTAGGAAGAACAAAGAAACAACACCGGAAAACAGTCGAGAAGAGCACCGCACCAGCCGAGAAGAAGATCGCCTCAAAATCGCCTCCGAGACGCAAAGGCGGCTAGGGCAACTATGTTAATTTGTCTGCAGGTTTATATGCATAGCCATGGACGATCATGATGCTCCATATGCAGGCCTCTTGGATGGTCTTCGAGCAACCAGGAATCGTGTTCGATTTCTGAATAGTTGGTTTTTTAATATGAATCCTGGTTTTTCTACTATGGAGCTTGTTTTTTGGGTGTCTTTTTGATAGCTAGTTGTTTGCCTTGCAGATTTTTATGCAGTTTTTGTGCTCTCTTGAGCTTAACCTTTTTTTGTAGAGCTCTTTTGACTCTTTTACTTAGTTGTAATCTCCATTTTCTATTTTTCTTTAACACATGGGCTAAGCCCAAATTTTCCACACAAAAAAAGTCTCTTTCAGGTCGATCTGTCATCTGTTGTAATGTTATATCATATTACCACAAATATTATAAAGTTAAGAGGCACGATAAGCTACTCCACATATAATTTATATATTGAAAAGTCATCATAGTTATTTGTTTTATTTCTTCTTCAACATATATCCTATCTCTCAAGCTATATACCTCTATCATCATCAACTAGAGATAAGAAAAAGAACTCAAGAGGGTGGCCGGCTCTCAGAGACAGAGAGAGAGGGTGAGAGAGAAGACAACAAGAAGAAGAATGCAGCTCGAGGAGAGCAGCGGCCGGCTCTCACAGAGAGAGAGAGAGAGAGAGAGAGAGAGAGAGAGAGGAGAGAGGAGAGAGAGAGAGAGAGAGAGAGAGAGAGAGAGAGAGAGAGAGCTGATTGAGCAGCCGGACGGCTTAGGCGTTGTTGCTCCGTTTTTGCTCAGAGCTTTCCCTCACACAGGTTCTGCTACCCATTGAGGTGCGGCCCTTCTTTTAAACACCACCATCTGCTGCTTCTACGCCTTCCACCATCTGCCTCCAGACAGACCGTCCAGCACCCAACCTACTCATATTCCCGCAACAGCCGTCGCTGGCTTAGCCATCGCACGCCCACACTTCTACCTCAACTACCTTTCTCTCACGCTCCTCAACTATCCGTAAACCTCCACCTACTGTTTTGTAGCCTTCAACTCCGGCGAAGATCGTACAGCTTGTACGTGGGTTAAAAGCTGCATCTCCTAAATCCTCCTTATTCAGCAATGATCTACACCATCATCCTCTTCATCATCGGCCTTTTCCTTGTCGCAGCTACTATCGCCTACATCTGCTATTTAGGCTGGCATTACTCCGGTGTTGCCCCTCCCCTTCAGCCCGAACACACTGCTGAGGCTGAGACTGAGACTGAGATTAGGATTGACAACGAAAGGCTCAGGACCTTGCCTACGCTCACCGACGTTGAAGCCAGGAGTCAAGATCCGCGAGCAGTTGTTGCTAGTTGTTGCTCTATTTGCCTTTTTGACTATGAGGAGCAAGGGGAGGATAATGCATTAAGGCTTCTGCCGGAGTGCGGCCATTTATTTCATGCTGCATGTGTGGATCCGTGGCTAAGGCGGCGACAGACTTGTCCTTTGTGCAGGTCATTGATGGGAAATGAGGCCATGCAGACGCCTTCAGCCGAGATGATTCCAATTCAAATTGAATAATTGTAGAAGTATGTATGTTGATCAAAGAAGGTTTCCCTATATTTTCTTATATGTTAATCAAATAATTGTTTTATGAAAAGCAATGTAAATATTATTTTATCTCCATTTTCACATAAATTTCAAGTCACCTTTTACAAAGTTTGTTTAGTTATAAAGTTGAATGCCATCCACATACAAATTTGAATCCAACCTATTTAATTTTAAGACAATAAACTACTATATCATAGATATATTCTAGCATACAATAAATAAATAAAATTATGCCATAGTTATATCTTAAAGAAAAAAAAAAGATTTAATTCTAAAATTTCTAAGCTAAAAAATGCTAGCTTTTAATAGTGAAAATGGGGAGAAACTTGAAATTAAAATTTGAGATATTAATAAACTAATGCTGATTTAATTTGTTATGAACTTTATATTATTAATTATTTATATTAGTAATTATGGAGTTATGATATTTTTATTTTGGTTGCACATAGCATAAATTTTTTTTGTTATATTGAGATTTTGCTATAGCATTTTAAGGTTATTAGAGAGTCGAGGCTTTGGAAAGTTATGTGGAATGTGAGGGAACATTCAGAAGTGCTTTGAAGTGGTTAGATGTATTTTGTCAATGAGGGAAGCTAAGTAATTAGAGGCTTAATTAGTGGTGGAGATGGATGAAAATTGTGTTGGTAAAGATGAGGAATATGTAAGGGTGAGAAATGATAACTAATTAATGATCCATTAAAGCCTAATGAGATTAACCATGAGGATTCACCAAAGAGTAAAGTAGTCACCAAATTTTTTATATGAAATTTATGTAAGCAAAAATATTTTTTATTCAATGAATAAAAAAATACAAGTAATTGCATTTTAATTAGACTTGTTTTAGTACATAAAACTTTGAAAAGCCATAGGGCCAATAAAATACTATTATATTAATTAATAATTTATTTTAATATAAATGTTATGTAATTTTTAAATATTTCAAGTACATGAATATTCAGATTGGTCAAATAAGACAAACAGAATAGTCATGAAATAAAAATTCAAAATAATTCTATAAATTTTTATATGATAAATGCTATGCTTATTTGATGAAAATATTAATTTTGATTTATTAAGAGAAATAAAAAATAAAGCAGGATGCCACTATAAAACTCAACAACTAGCAACAACTGCTTGCGGATCTTGACTCGTGGCTTCAGCGTAGATGAGCGTAGGCCAGGTCATGAGCCTTTCGTTGTCAATCCTAGTCTCAGTCTCAGCCTCAGCCTCAGCCTCAGCAGTGTGTTCGGACTGAAGGGGAAGAGCAACACCCGAGTAGCCAGCAGCCTAAATAGCAGATGTATTTAGGCAGATGTAGGCGATAGTAGCTGCGACAAGGAAAAGGCCGACGATGAAGAGGATGATGACGTAGATCATTGCTGAATAAGTAGGATTTAGCAGATGCAGCTTAAAACCCACGTACAAGCCGCACGATCTTCGGCGGAGTCGAAGGCTACAGAACAATATGTGGAGGCTAACGGATAGTTGAGGAGCGTGAGAGGAAGGTAGTTGAGGTAGAAGTGTGGGCGTGCGATGGCTAAGCCGGTGACGGGAACATCTGTCTGCCGGCAGATGGTGGGAGGCGTAGAAGCAGCAGGTGGTGGTGTTTAAATGAAGGGCCGGACCTGAACGGGCAGCAGAACCTGTGTGAGGGAAAGCTCGGAGCAAAAACGGACCAACAGCGCCGAAGCAGTCCGTCCGCTCAAGCTAATCTTCTTCTTGTTGTCTTCTCTCTCACCCTCTCTCTCTCTCTCTCAGAGCCGGCCGCCCTCTTGAGTTCTTTTTCTTCTCTCTAGTTGATGATGATAGAGGTATATAGCTTGAGAGATAGGATATATGTTGAAGAAGAAATAAAACAAATAACTATGATGACTTTTCAATATGTAAATGATATGTTGAGTAGTATATCGTGCCTCGTAACTTCATAATATTTGTGGTAATATGATATAACATTACAACAGATGACACATCGACCTGAAAGAGACTATTTTTTTGTGGAAAATTTGGGCTTAGCCCATGTGTTAAAGAAAAATAGAAAATGGAGATTACAACTATGTAAAAGAGTCAAAAGAGCTCTACAAAAAAAGGTTAAGCTCAAGAGAGCACAAAAACTGCACAAAAATATGCACGGCAAACAACTAGCTATCAAAAAGACGAAAAATTATTAGGTGCGGAGTGTGCACCGTCCACACAAGCACTGAGTACCTAGAGGTACCCAGCGGTACCCAGTGATACCGAGTGGTACCTAGCTGGGTACTCTATGCTTGTGTGCGGACAGTTCTCCTTGTCCGCACTCCGCACCTACTAATCTCTCAAAAAATAAACCCAAAAAACAAGCTCATGAGTCGAAAAATAAGGACTCATATTAAAAAACCAACTATTCATAAACCGAACATGATCCCCTGGTTGCTTGAAGACCATCGAGGAGGCCTGCATATGGAGCATCATGATCGTCCATGGCTATGCATATAAACCTGCAGGTGAACCGAAGCGGGACAGAGACATATATACGCCTGCCATCTTATAACTTTTCCAAAAACTTGTAAGCATTTTTCCACTTTAAAACTTTCTCAAATACCACTCTTTTTATACTAAGCAGCAAGGAATAATTGCTTTGTATTGTGTCCCCAAATATCTTATTGTTTATCTCTATCCAAATTTGATAAATAGCACATCATATCATCATCATGTAAAAATTTTTAACTGATAGAGATACTTGAAGCTCACTGTCCAACCATTCAAGAAGCTGTAGTACCGAAGGTCTTAAGAGAAATTCGCTCGTCTCAAGAATGAGAGTAGCAAGAATGAAAAAAGTATAAGAGCATTCAAATAACAGATGAGATACACTTTCCACATTTGAATGACATAAACTGCAAGTAACTGGGACATAAATCTTCCTAATATGCAAAGCATCAGCAGCCTTCAAGTCCTCGACTAAAGCAAGCCACACAGAAATTGAGTGTTTCAAAATATGCTTTTTATGCCAAACCATCTTATACTAAGAACTAGATGGTATATCTTTGTAATACTCTTCAATATAGTCCCTAAAAGTAAAGTTATTCAGGTTGTTCCAGAGCAAACAGGGAGCAGCATTGTCAAGGATAGTAATGCTCCCGAAAACAAATATTATGAAGTTAGGAGGCACGATAAGCTACTCAACATATCATTTTATAAATTGAAAAGTTAGAATAGTTTTGTTTTATTGCTTCTTCAACATACATCCTATCTCCCAAGCTATATACCAAACTGTCATCATCAACAAGTTATTTTAGTCATGAATCCTGATGATGTTACAGGCCTCAAAGGTTGAAGAAGTCAGCAGTGCCAATAAGCAATCAAAATTAAAACAAAAAACTATGCTTCCTTTTCAGGAGATACTTCTCAATATATAAATGATAAATTAAGTGACTTATCTTGATCATATTTGTGGGAATATGATAATTTTAACAGCACAGATCGAGCTGAAAGAAACTTGAATAACATTTGATGCTCTCTTTGAAAACAAATCAATAATTTAGAATTAATTCTGATACTTTTTTCAATGGTATATTTTGATGCATTTTTTTTTATTTGGACGCTTTTTTATTTTATTTTTAATAATAAGTAGCAGAATTAATTTTAAAACTTTTGAATCTACTTTTAGCTAAATAAAATATATAAATAATCCTTTATACACTTATCTCAAAGCAAATTCAATAAATTAAAAACACCTTCTAATTATAAATAATTTGGATATCTAACTCTTTTTATGATGATTATTAACTCGTGAATAAGCTATCCAATTCTTCTGCATAATGACAAGCAAATCTAAAAAAAATATTAGTTTTTAATTAGCATTAACAACCAGATTAGGGACAATGTAAAATTTACAAATATGACAATTAATTATCATAAATTAAATATATACTGACTTTTAAGTTGGTATGAAGATTTCAGTGTTATATATCAATTGTCTTTTTAATAGATTAGAGCATAATTATTGGAGGTCTCTACTCTAATTATTTTCTTTTCTCCTTTCTCCGCCTATTTAATCATAGTTTAATAACTTGTTTTATTGAGACTAGTTATTAGGGTTAATAGCTATTTTTATATAATAAAGACTATTAATGTAATTCAGTATGAGTAATTATTTTAAAATAATCTAATCTAATTGTGTTTATAACTATTTTTATAATGAATAAAATAAATTTTTAATATGTTTTTAATGGATAATAATTTGATTATTAATAAATCAAATAATATCATCCCTAAATACTTTTAATAGTTTTAACAAAAATAACTAATATGTCCCTTTAAAAATAAGTAGTTGAAGGACACCAACAATCAGTTGGTAATAAACGATGGGGGGCCAGAGATTGGCGTTGGAAACCAATGAATAGTATTCCATTAAAATGTTGGCTATATTGAGATATGTACATAAGAAAGCTTGTTATGCCTACGTTAGTTTCTTGATTAGGAAAGGCATATAAATTGTTGGAATGAAAAAGGATTTTTGGAACAAGAGAAGGCTAAAGAGAGAAAAGAAAGAAACTAGATATTTTTATTTCTCACTTTTTGGCTTGATGAAACTCAAAGACACAATCACTATTTATACTAGCAGTACACCGTTAAGATTGTGCCTATATAGTTCAATCTAATGATAACAAATGACTCTCTAGAGTATTCTCATATCTTCACTCATAAATGCATTATTTATTTTCACTCATAAATGTCATTAAATGACTATTCTTGACTTTTCTAACAATTCATCTATAATAGATTTCTAGAGTATTCTAATCAGTATTACATAGCAGATTTTCTAGAAACTTCTAAATAGATTACTCTCGATTATGTGCTTCAATCAAAAGCCCAAATAATAGTGGGCCAAATTAAGTTTAATTTCCAACATAAATATCATAGTTTTATTTTTCTTATCTTAAATTAGAAAATAATGAGAGAAAATAATTAATGATTACATGTATTAAGCAAAT